AAATTAATGACATGTTAATTAAAAATTAAATAATTGATTGGACAATAAATCTCAACTCTTGAGAGTATTTTTACAAGATTTTAATCCAATTTTTGACAATTGAAAATGTAGTTGGCCCCATTTGTGCCGTAACTATTGACTCAACATAAAACAAATTATAAGAAATGCCCTCTTCTAAAAAATAATAAATTAAATGTTAAAGGAATACATTAGTAATTCTACTTGATTCGGTCAAAAATTGCAACTGCCCTATCACTATCACTATCATAAACTGTATAACGGCATAAAATTATCATTCCCAGAGCTAAGGACCAAACAGCAACATACGTGGTGTTATGTGATATATTCAATGAAATGTGATACTAGCTAACTCATATATTTGTACTTGTCAAACCCCGATTTTTATTGAATAAGAGCATTTTTAAAAAGCTCTTTATTTTAAAGAACATATCTTATAATTTAAAGAGTATCTATAAATTTAGATACTTAAAATTTTAAAATACTCGAACAAACTCTTTATATTTAACATTTAATTTTACTATTCCCAAGAAATATTTATTATTTTTCTCTATCTTTTATTTAACTAGTTTTTCTCTATATTATTATATTATTTTTCTACATTGAAAATTAAAATATTTTGAATGCATTTAATTATAGAGAGTGGGTTTGGTTTTTCAAATTTAAAGAGCCAAACACACTCTTTAAATTAAAATGTTAATTTAAAGAGTTCTTTTAAGCATGATTTTAAAAATTGGCTCTTTGAAAAAAAGACCATCTCGTGTTTAAAGAATCTATTGGATATAATCTAAAAATTAGATTTTTAGCCACTGTTTTACAATCATTACTTGCAAAAGTGTTTTTTCTACATACTCATATTTAACCAAATATTCACATTATAAAATATTCTGCACATAAATTCACTTTTTCCTACTTTTAACCACATATTTTTCTGAAAATCATTATTCAAAACTTTGTTTTACCCATCTAATGATTGTCAAACAGGGACTTAGTATATTTTGGTAAAAGTATGTTGAAAAGTTTATAAAAGTTGTGGATCTTATACAATATGTAGTTAAAAATGAATTTTAAGAAATTAGGACCAAACAGAGGCTTAATGTTACATTAATGCTATCTAAATTAATATTTTGATATTAGTGGTATTATATAATATTACTCGAATGTGTACGACAAGATAACATTACAGCATGCAATAAAGATGATAGAAACCCCAATTTTCATTCACAAACTTTTTTTGGTAAGGTGCCTGTTGATTGATATCCTTATTTAGACTCCATTTTATTCAAAATACATTTGTCTCTCTCCTTTTTTTAATCACATATTGTTCAATAGAATAATTTTCCTTAAAAATTCAAAATTTTTCTTATTTTTTAACCATAATTTTTTCAAAAAATACTTTTCCAAAATATATAAAAAAAAAATTCCAAAAGACAAATTTTAATGGAGCTCAAATAAGGGCTTAGTGTCCATTTGGTATCACGTGTATTTTTCAATTACTTAGAGATATATTCAATCACAACTTTTAATAAGTTTTGGGACTGGGGTATTTAAAGTGGCAAAGATTTTTATAAAAATCTCTAGAGTACTAACTTTTTAAATCGAAACACACACAAACAAGATTTCTAAATTTTTCTTCCATTCACTTCAAGATTTTAGGAGACTTTCATAAAAGAATTTTTTAGTATGTACTGCTTTGTACTTTATCTTAATTCATCTTCTCCTTTTACGATCCGTAGAGTCATAATTTAGAAAGTGGTTAATTATATTCACACCAAATTTTAATTTCTTACACTACATTTTAATACTTAAAGTTATCAATCTTCACTCATTATAACATTTATATCCCTAACGATTTTTCATGACATTTTTATGCTCGAATTTTTCATTAATTAACACATTTTGTATTTTATAACATTTATGTCCAAAAAGTCCATCAAAATAGTATATAATAACTTTTTGTATCATATTAAAAAATTTAATAAATAAAAAGTACAAAAAATATTTTTCCCTCATTTTGAATCAGAGAAACAAAATATTTCAACATAAATCATCATCAATAACGAATGTACTAATTAATGGAAGATTGAAAATAAGCATTCAACAAAAAAGATTAATGAAATAATTGCTACAATGAGCAAAAAAAATGAGGAGCTTAATTACAATTAAAAATGATAGCAATATAACCTCGTTTAAAAAATTATTATTTTTTCTTATACTGGTTATATTTGTTTATATTTTCCTTTTTTTCCTTGCTTTTGTTGTTTATCTCCACTATAATTGGTACAAAAATCTCATAATCTTTTCTTCTATTGTGGGATACCCTCGTCCTTTCATTTTTCTGCAAAATCCCCCAATATGGTCCGAACCTTACGAAATATCATCAACCGTCTAATTCAGTTAGTTTAGTTGTTAAAAATAATAAGTAGGGCCAAAATTTAGAAAGGGTCAGTGGCACAATATAACTTAATCTTTGCTTGTTTTGACCTTCTTACTTTCATTTTGGCACAAAACTCTCCTAAATCACACAAACTTTCACTATCCAAAAAAGATATTTTGCAAAATGAAACGTCTTTAAAAATCTTTAATCAAAGTCTACAGATGTTAATGGAAAACTTTTATTAATTCTTAACAAATCCATAAAAGTCACTTAAAAGTCCATAAAATTCACAAAAGTCACCCACTTAAAAAGTTCATAAAAATCTCAATTGAATACATGTCTCTTAAGTCTTATTTAAGGAAATGTCATGCATTCGAATTTTGGAAATGCTATAGAAATCTGTGACGAGTTAGATGTGCTTATGCTCTCTACTAGAGCGAACAATATGTAACTTAATAGTTTGGATATAGAGGTCAGATCGTTACAAAAATTGCGCATTCTATGTAACGACCCGAATATTTTGCCAAAAGTTCTCTTACATATTGTCTGTTTTGGAAGGAAAACTTCCCTCTTAACCTCTCGCGGCTTCTTGTTGCATACTCCGGGATTTAAACATGTGACCTCTGCTTAAGAGACTTAAGGAAAATGTCATGGGTTTCAATCCTTGAACGCAACAGAACTTCGTAAGAAGAAAGATTTTTAAGATTCTTTCAGAGCAAACAATACATAAGTTAATGATTTGGATACAAAGGTTGGATCGTTACACTTATGCCCATAACTTGGCTCGTTAAAAAAAAGTGAGCTCGACTTAATTAGACTTGTCCAGGACAATGACTTGTCTCGAAACGAGCCAAGCCCGCTAACAGCTTGATACGTTTTTCACCCTATATTAAAGTATAGGGAGCTATTGAATAAATGACCAAAAAAGGCATGATATTTGAAAAACATGGACAACTCTTTTCTCTCGAATTGGTAATGATTTATTGGTCGAATTTATTTTGAATTTCTTACTTATTATGACACTCATTATAATTGACAAAATAAGTATTTATTTTGAATTTCTAACTTATTGTGACATACATTATAATTGACAAAACAAGTATTTTCGGGAAATTTTGATTTTTCTACGAGTAATGACTAAAAGCAAAAAAATAACCCACACTCAAATTTTCGAAGGTTAAAATTTCAGTTGGACGCAAAACTTTCAAATGTGTCCCTTTAATCGTTTAAATTTTTTACGATAGATAGTTATCGAACTTAATTTACATCCTGATTCATGTTGATATCCTCGTTGAGTGAAAAAACAATCGTCAAAACCAAAATTTTAATGAGTACCATTGAAACAAAAACATTGTTTAACTTATAATGTCGTATTTATCAAGTTCGACGGTCACTTAAACAACACTATTAGACACCTCAAATACTATTAAATTTATGAACATGTACCTAAAGGACTTGAGTGTTTCTGTTACGTCCTCTACTGAAAAATGTTCAGGGTCTGTTTGGGAGCGATTTTTTCATCCAAAAAATTGATTTTTTGACCGTTATTTCACTATTTCAGCCATCATATTTGACTTTTTCTCTCACGGGTAGACCCTACTTTTCTCCTAACGATCAAAAATTCAATTCTCAAAATCAATCCCAAACAAGCTTTTAATGATTAAAGCTAAGCAATTTTGAAAGTTTGATGATTATTAGAGTTTTTATACCTGACTTTTAAAAACGCTCTAATATTTGCTCTCCTTGTCCGTTTTCACCTTCATATATTCCTTTTTTTAAGATTTTAAAATTTGAACATCATTCGTAGTCAATAAATTCCGGAATTCTCGCATAGATTTGTTAACTTTCTAATTTTATCGGTACCCTTCCAGAAATGACTGATTCTGAGGTAGCACTGTTCGTACACATTGTAAAACTGCACAATTGGTCCCCAAACCTAGTGTCTTAGTAATAGGTTGGTCCCCAACGAACTAATGCAACCCCCAATAGCAATTTATTCTTTTAACATTTTTAAAAAGAGCAAATTGATCATCGAGATTTCATGATAGTTCGTTGCACATATAATCTCCAAAAATGAATTGTTGTGTCCCTCGTAAAATGAAAATTTTTAAATTAGCCCAATTTGAGATGCAAAACCTCACTTATGGTCTATTTGACATGACTTTTGCTTGTTCTTTTACTTCATGTAAAAGAGTTTAGTGAAAAAGTTATCTTAATTTTTGTTTGAAAACTAATTTTTAAAAGAGTTTCATATTTCGAAAATGTTTTTAAAGAAAGTCATATTAAACTAACTTTCTTTAAAAGATCTATTCATTAGAAAAAATATTTTTATAAAATTAGTTGAACATGCCCAAAATCAACTTTTGAGTTTTAAAAGCTCCTTTTTAACTTCAAAAGCTATGCCAAATGGGCTCTTAATAAAGTTGGACGCATGCGTATAATGCGCTGGTTTAACAAAGTTCAAATTTCATTGTTAGGATTAATTGTGCAACTGTAATAAAAGGCAGAGGACCAACAACTTACTTACGAAACAATATGTTGGGGACATAATGCAATTTTCCCTATATACATCTTAATTGTGTTGTGTATAATTATTTTGAGGGAGAAAGAAGAAAAAAAAAAAAAAAGACAGTTCCTCATAAAGCCCTCGTTGTTCTCCTCACATTTCACAGTCTTTTCATTTCTCCTCCCTTCCTTCATCCATCCGTTGATACATCTCGTCCAAAAAATCATGGTTGGTTATAATATTCTTCATCAAAGGCAGCCTCTGAAAAAAGATCATAAATTCTTAACCAGCTTTCATGACCAAATCTCTGTTATTGATTATCAGAAACAAAATTCTGATGAAAAACATTGCAGTTTCTTCAATCATGCATTGGACGACGATGATGATGAGGATGAGGATATCGATGACGATGAAGGTGTTACAAACGAACCTCAAGACGTAGCTGAACGAACAATTTTCTGGGAATCACAAGAATCCTTGCTTCAGGTATATATGTTCTTTATAAACTTTTATTTTTCCATTAATTTTTTTCATTTTGAGAAAGATATGATAGGAATTAAGGGGACATTAATTTCATTTTGTGATTCCTAAAACCTTGAAATATTTATTTACGAGAGTTTGCTGCAGCTTTTCTTTAGCTATATTCATGCATTATTTTCAAAAGAAAAGAAAAGAAAAAAAAGAAAAAGAAAAACTCATATGAATATTGTATGGTATCTTTATAAAAATGAAATCCAGTTGGCTCATAGTTTAAATTGAATCACAACTATATAAGTTATTTTGAAATTAAGAAATTCCATTCACGAAATTATCCTATAATCTCGATGAAATCTCTTTGTTTTTGTGGTTCCTTTCCTCCACCTAAAAAGTTAAGAGAAATCTATTTTTTCAAATGATCTCCATAAAGATTTAGTTTATAATTATATATTTTTTATATCTATATATTTTTTTTATCTCTCTCTCTCTCTCTCTCTCTCTCTCTCTCTCTCTCTCTCTCTCTCTCTCTCTCTCTCTCTCTCTCTCTCTCTCTCTCTGCTAATTTCTATTTCCACAAGAACGTGAGATTGACAAACAAGAGAATGATAGAATTTAAAAGGAGTTTTATTTATTTAGAAATATTTTAAACTAAGAAACATTATGCCCTTATTCGATGGAAATTAAAATCAAATTTTAGAAAATTTTGATAGAAGTTGATAAATTGTGTAATTTAAAAGTTATGAGAACCATAAATATATAATTGAAATAAATTATTGACTTTAATTTAGATTAAAATCTAAGCCCTTGTTTGAGCCTCATTTTTTGGTCAAAATACATTTTTCAATAATAATTTTATCCCATTTCAATCCACACATTTTTCAATAAAATAATATTATTGGCAAATTCAAAGCTTTTCTTTATTTTTCCATTACACATTTTTCAACAATATACTATTCAAAAATAAATTTTTGTATAAGAATGAGGCTCAAACAAGGGCTAGATTTTAATTGGTACCAAACGGAGACTATATTTTGGTTTTGGATACGAGTTACAATTTATGCCACATATCTCTTGGGATTTTTGTGTCTATTCATAATCAAAATATGTGGCTGATATACTATTTTTATTCTAAAGATGTTAATAGCACATCGGAAGGTAGAACCGTAGAGGAAAAGGACATTGATATTTTCGTGAAAAATACAAGAAAAAGAAAACACATACATATTTAAGATTCCAACTACTTGTCCCTGCAAGATATTTTAAATCCAACTTATTATTTCTGGTACGAGATTTTTCTAGGATTTAGGACTTGTCGAAATATTTTTTCGTCCATGTCCCCACCTCTTTATTTTGGGACTACAATTGATTAGCTTCAAAACGTTCAATATTTTGTCAAAATATTTTTTTTTTCGTCCATCCCAATCTCTTTATTTTGAGAGTACAATCGATCAACTTCAAAAGGTTCAATATTTTCTTGTTGAACAATGTTATTTATACATAATCGTCTGTATAATGATGACATGAAAGACAAAGAAAGATTATAATAAATGAATCGAATAATGTTATTCATACATGAACAATTACATAATTTACATGCGAATGAAGTGTTGAAGTCACATATCGTCATATCATCTGTGTGTAAACCATTATGAATATGCAGTACAACTGCAACTGTGTGTAAACCATTATGTATATGTAGTACAACCGTACTTGAATTTTATTTTATTTTTCTTTCCGTCTCTCTTCCATATCATCATTATGACACTATTATACACAAATAGCATTACTCTTTCTGGTATTCCCAAGTTTAGAATTTTTGTAGCAACTCTCTAAAAGTAAGATCAAATCTCCTTCAGGAAATATTGGAGCGCTACATGTCAAGTTGTGCAAATTTTAGAAAAGAAATTTGCAGACATGTCGACATGGCAAGAGACACTCATTTTTGTGATTGCCAAAATCCTAAACTCACCGGCTGCTCCAACTGCCTACGACGAAGATTAGTCAATCAACTATGCAACAAAGGATTCAATGCAAAACTATGTACATCAAGATGGAGGAGATCACCCAAAATACCAGGAGGTAATGCCTTTTTTTAACTTCATTTTGTCATTATAGTAAACTAACCCTCGAAAAAGACAAACACGTGTCTTGACTAGTGAAGTTCCGACACCATTTCACTCTTGACTAATGCAGTTGATAACTAGTGATCCTAATCTATGATACATCAACACGAACATGTGTCAGATATATCGACACGCGATTTTTTAAAAAAGTACTGACATAACTCATCGACAACACATTGATTAAATTCTTTAAGATTCTTTATTTATAAAATATAAATTTAATTTTATACTTATTATTAATTTTTCTTTTTGAAATCTTTTAAATATGAGTACATATTTGTTATTTACTAATAATTTTGAATTAAAATATATAAAATTTCTAATAAAAAAGAAAAATAATTATGGTAGAGTTTCTGAAAATTGTTAGTATTCGACACGGACATGCTATCCTAATTGAAGTGTCCGTGTGTAACAGAGATCTTAATCAAAGCCCTGAGTACACACTCAAACAATCTAATTAAACACCAATGTTTAGTCAATTCACAAGCAATGGTTCACATATATAACTGAAGCCGAACTATTTTCCAGGGATGCATGAATACATTGAAGTGATTGCAAGCACAGAAGGAAGAAAGAAGCAGATTCCATTATTGATAGAAATAGGATTCCAGGATGAATTTATGATGGCAAAAGCATGCGATGAGTATTATGCATTGATAAATCAACTGCCAAAGATATATATAGGAAAACCCGAACATTTGAATGCGATAATTCATGTAGTTTGTGATGCAGCCAAGAGATCGACTACAGAGAAAAAAGTTCATATGGGTCCATGGAGAAAGAGAAGCTTCATGCAAAAGAAATGGTCAGCTTCTAATGAAAAATCAAAGCAAAGAGAGATGAATACTGGAAAGTCACTTAAAACATCTTTGGAAGTTGTTTAGTATACTAGACTAAAAGAGCATCCCAACAAGCTCGATCTTACACGAGATGGAGATTTACCAGCTAAGGTTTTTCGAATCTTCATCCAAATTTTGTTAAAGAGTGTGGTAGATACAAGGCGGAAGATGAAGGGATCCTTGTTGAGACGTTAATAAAATCAATTCCAATATTCCTGTGGGTCTCTTGTTTCCTTTTTAAGCGTGTTATATTGTACTAGAAATATCAAAAAACAAGTATGTAGTGTGCTACCAGCATGTACTCTAGATTACAGATTATTATTATTATTATTAATGTAAAACATATCGACCTTTGCCGGTTTTAATTTAAATGAGAATGTACTATATGAGAGAACTATTAAGTGTTTCAGGTTTAACAAAATTCTGTTTGAAAGTTAACTCTCCAATACAGTTGCAATTAATTATCCTAGAGGTAAATAGAAAATATAAACCAAATTTTGAAGATATTATCCATAAAATTCAATCATATGTGTTGACCCCAAAAAGTGCGCCAACAGATGCCAGTCCCACCCGCGCTTGCGTGGGCGAATGTCCAACACGCTAAGACACGTGGACGGTCTAAAACGAGCGGTTCAAAGGGGCGTGGGAGTAGCCCAACGACGCGGGACGGTGACGTTCGGAATCCGGCGGGTTGTTCGTAATCCGATTGTACGATAATTACCAACCGGTGCTCGTAGATGTATATGTAAAAATGTATAGACTCGATTTGTGTATTGCAAGTAAATGAGAGAGAGTTGAGTAAATGTAGTTTTTAGTATTGATTCTTGCATTAGCCTTTTACACTATACAATGGGGGTATTTATAGTGATACATATGGAATGGGAGCCCTTGGATGAAGTGGCACGTGGCCTCATCTCCTTAATTCAAATGTCTGTTCTTAGGCATGGGACTTGACTTGCTAGCTTACGGCGCATTTATTGCTTGTGCAGGGCCTCCATGCTAGTGACAAGACTTGACCTTTATACTTATGACAAACGTTCCATCAATCATTCGAATAAGATCTGTGCAGGCGATCTCTTGGGAGAAGTGACCATGGAGGATGTTTCCTTGTGGTTCAGAGGCTCGCGCATCAGCTTCGGGGCTTCGGCCATTTGTCATGATACTTCCACTTGAGGGCCTCAGCTGCTCTCAACAGGTTCCAGCAGCCGGGCTTCGGTTCGTAGGCCTCGGTCAATGGACCTCGGACAAAGAGGAGCCTCGGAAGATGGACTCCGGCTCAAAGTAGTTCGGATGTAACCCCACCTCGGCATTGTATGCCACCTCGGCAGGAATGCCACGTGGATCGTCATGAGTGGGCCATTGTCCCGGGTAGGTTGGCCAGGTGTGACAACACGCAACAATATGCATACGTGCATTTAAGTAGTGATTTTTGGCACTTAATTTGAATTACGAATATATGTGCAGCACAAGTAATTCAATGTGTACCCATTTTCTTTGACCAACCATGTTTCCTATACAGTTGATATCTACTCCATTTAACAACTTTTGGAATGTTATTAATAAAATTAACCTTAGTCATGTCTGCCAAATTCCGGAATTGTTGCAGCAGCCAAGCAACACCCCTGATGGCAATCTGGATACACATAAAGATAGAAGTCAAGCAACAAGAGGTAAAAGTAAACAGCCTGTTTGTCTTCCTGTTTGAACTGTTCTTGAAAGTTATTGAAAAATGATAGTAAAAAGTGCAAATTGCGTAGCCAGAAGGAGATCTTGGCTTGTAAATTGTTAACTACCAAAGTTTCTTTCAAACAATAAGAAAGTTTATTTATGTTACCAACAGTAACAATTCCAATCCAGTCCTTTTCAAAAAGTATAATAGCACCTGAAAGAATATCGCAACAAATATTAACCTATGCATACAGGGAGGGAATTACTGTATTGAGAAAAAGTTTGAGCTTTATACTTATATGCTAATGCAGACAGGCAATTAGATATATAATTATGCAGACATGCACAGATTACTCGATAACCAACTCAGCAGCAGGAGGGGGTTAGCAAGGGATCATGAGGGCTTTGTCATGTTCGCATAATATTATTATTGTTATAGTGAATACAATAGCCTTGAGGCAGGATTCAGGGCTTTAGTTACCGGATTAACATTGTGTATGAAACAGGGCTTTTCTGAGACTTGGGCAGAACAGCAGAATTAGATTCTTTATTAATATCCATATATTTCATCAACAAGCAAAAGGTCCATGGAATATCCAGGACCTCCCAGAGGAAATCAACCTGCTGAGGAGGAAATTGCAGGTAATTTTCACAAACAGCGCCGACACTCTGAACCATATCATCATTTCATTGCCATCGATTATTTTCTTTTCTAACTTAAGTTCATCAGTATAAACAGCACTGACACTCTGAACTATATCATCATCAGAAGCAACAAAAGGAAAAGTTGCACGGGAGGATGATACAGAAAAAAGGCCTACAATGGCTTCCACAATGAGCAGATATTGATACAATTGTGATTAAATATACTCCAAGATTCCGAAAACGGTTGTACTAAAGAACGAATTTTTGAAGGAGACTCAGAAGACAAATTGCATAAAAACCACTTTTTATGGAGTGAATGCGATTCAAAATTGCAAATTGAAGATAACCCGCGATAGGAATCGGACAAATATTGACTCTTTCGACACAAAAATGGATTAGGAGAATCATATAACAAACTACATAAAAGTTTCTTTTTCTGAAGTGGGACTGAAACAAAACAGCAAACGGAAGGGGACCCAGATGAGAAATTGTTCGAAAAAGAGGGGAAATGGATTTGAGGTTTTGGTACAGAAAAAGGTGGAGTTGAAAACGTACCTCATAAGATTTTTGGTTTTGTAGGAATCGTTTGAGAGTCTCATATCGTATCAGTTCTCAACTCGTGTCTGTACTTGTAGAGCTTTAGCAGAGCTTGACAGGGGTCTTATCGATCCCTCCCTGTAAGGGTTGGTCCCACACAAAAATGAATAAATAATTATGGGGCCCACAAGTGCAAGGGTCTGCCAGGGGTCGATTTTACGGAACCTGTGCGGGTAGTTGATATAAACGTTCATATAACCGTTAAAAACAATAAAAATTATCAAAATTAAAAAGAAATAATTGCATAAATGATCCCAATTTTTTTATTTTTTTTTTTTACATATTATATTCAAATTTCTATATCTATCACCCGTAAGGTCGTACCTTTAAAATTTTATTTTTCTTCCCCCACCGTACACCACTTCATCTTCTACCCCCATCCAACCACATCCACCCCCATACCAAAAACCTACACGCTACCACCACATTATAAAAACTAATCTTCAAAACCCTCAGACTTTAAGTTTGGTATAATTTGGGAGAAAAGCATTTTTCGTTAGTTGTTTATCACAGCAGCAAGTCAAAAAGCAGCTAAAAATTGCTTTTAAAACATTGTCAAATAGAGACCATATTTGGGAGAATTGTTGCTTACTTCTCGAAGTAGAATTTGTTGACACATAAAAATTCAGCCCAAATCGAACAGCCCAAGGAATGAAGCCCAATTGGAGGATCCCCAAATCAAATAGTCGAAAGAACGAAGCCCAATCAGACAATTCAGGATGAAGGCCCAAATAGGGAAGCCCATGAACGCGGTAACACCATCGCCCAAACTTGCAAGTCGCCCAGGATCTAAGCGAATGGAGTGCCATGCAGTCGCCCAGAGCTGCTACTCTATTCTCGCCCAAACCTTCGAGTCGTCCAAGGTCTTAGCAAACATGAAGTGTTATGGTTATCAAGAAGCGCAGTTATCAAAGCAGTTATTAAGCAGCCCTATCACGTTCCACGATTCAAGGAATTCAATTGAAGACGGTTGAACGACAAAGAGTAATGGCAACAGTTAGAAAAGGCAGTTCCATGACAAGTTGGCCATTACGAGAAAAGTGGGCAGTTATAAAACGATCAAGCAGTTTTTATGCGGTTGATCACAAAAAGATCATCCAGAGAGTATAAAAGGAAGAAAAGATATAGAGCAAAAAGACCAGAATCAAAAACTCTCGAACAGAGAACATGTAACTTTAAATTTCTTAGTTTAGATTTAAACATTTCTTTTACAGTAACTCGTGTGCTTGCGCCCCTTGGAGGCATTCTGGTTTTACTTTCCAATTGTAAAGTCATCGCCAATAAAAAATGCCACTTTTTGGGACTTTATCTCAAGAGGTTTGTCCCTTACACAATCGTCTGATCCCTTTTTAATTATTAGCAACGAATCCGCGCGAAACAATTTGGCACGCCCAGTGGGACAGTGGTGTTTGATGTTGAAAATACAAAAGGTGAAACAATATGCCTCAGAGATCCAATAAGGAAGCAGCAAGTCAGGAAGGAGTCCAGTCTGTGATCGAGCGATATGAGGAGCAGCATGCCTCTCTACGAACAGATGGACAGAATCAGAGCAGTAACAGTCGTTACGAACCAATGACAAAGTTGAGTCCTCAAACTATGCGTGCACTACTTGGAGAACTCACACAAGATGTCGTTGAACAGATAAATCTTCGAAATATTCATAATATGGAAAGATTTAACCAAAATGGGAATGCACATTATGACAACATGGCCAAACAACTAAACACTTTGAACGAAATAATGAATAAATTAGTTGGCCAAATATGTCAACGGGTTATGCCTCTTGCAAACCACTTTCAAACTAGAACAATTGTGGGACATAATCCCTCAGTCCTAAATTTGAATCAAGGGATAGAACCACTTTCTGGTCCCTCTACTTCAAACCAAGGGGGTGGTGCCGTGCCAAATCAGAACAATGGTAGTGGTACGCCTAACTTGGGGGTAATCCAAATGTAAGAGATAATGTCCTAAACAATGGACAGAATACCCCACGTGTTAATGAGAGAATAGATGTTCAGGCTAATGGTAATGGCCCAAATCATGGTAACTTTGTTGCCAATCAAGGACCAAACATCAGGCCTCATGCAAATCAACCAGTTAACAAACCTGTAGGAATTCCATATGACCCCAACGTCATGTTGAGGAATCAGATTATAGAAATCGTACAGGATCAGATGGCTTTTGGGTGCGTCCTGTCATTAGGCCGACTTACACAAAGCCATATCCTGATTGGGTAGACCAAGCATATCCATGGCCTAGAGGGTATAAAGTGCCAGAATTCTCACTGTTTACCGGTTTATGGGAGGTGTCTACTCTAGAACACATAGGGCGATTCACATTGCAAAGTGGTGATGTAACTGATTACCATAAAATGAGGCTTTTTCCTAGTTCATTAACAGGAGTAGCTTTCTCCTAGTTCATCAACTTGCCAGCAAACTCTGTTCAAACATGGCAACAATTGGAATAATTATTCCACGCTCAGTTTTA